ATATATATATATATATATATATATATATATATATATATATATATATATATATATATATATATATTCCTGACTCCTTGTGACTGGAGAGCTCATAGAATCCTAAATTCATTGAGATGAAGCTGTATAACAACACATGTGTTGGTTTTAAAAGTGACCTTCATCCTCTGCTAGACAAGCATTCTTGGACAAGAATCCTAGAACGAGCCCGAGCCCAGCACAGATGGAAAACACCACACCCAAATCCAAGATCCTTGTTCAAGGAACAGTCTGTCAGCCAGACATCCTTTCCTCTTAACAGAATTGGGCACCCAGAAACAAAATAGCCAGAGTCTGGAACAAGCAACTTCATGAATTTTTGTAGGTTTACAGATTTAAGAGAAAAGTCAAACAGGTACTCTTTCCACACAAGGCCGCCACAGTCACTTTCCTATAATTTGGCTTGGCTTGCAGACAGCCCAGACCTCCTGAGAGAGGTCCCTGGGAAAAGGGAGGGAGGCCTCTGGGATCTGTTCTTTCCTGGCAGGTAACAGGATGCATCTGCTCAGAACTCCAGCCTATGGGACGCACAACACAGCTGGGGTTTTTTTCCTCAGTGTGAACAAGCCAGATTTAGCAGGAAAGGAGGGGTGGGAGGAGGAAAGAGGAAGGAACAATTTAACACCTGTCCATGTACTTTTCAGGAGTTCTCCTTCCAGGGACTCATAAGCATTGAAAAGGACTTGAGTGGAATTAATTTCAGTTCCCTTGGGGGTTAGCAGGTGGCTTTTGATTGCCGTTATAGACAAGGCTGCCTGCATCCAGCTAGGGATGAACTCACAAAAGAGAAGTGAACGGAGGCAATTAACACAGGCCATTATCACATCCACCTACTGTCCTGAGCTTTGTCTATATTCAGAAGACCTGGTTAATACATTGTTGGGACATATGTATAACTCATCTCTGACAAGGCCAGACTAACTCAGTGGGGACTCTGTCTTGCTCAGATTACAGAATGCTTCTCTGCCCTTCAGTCTGGCTATGGACAATGAGCTATAGGGATTCTGCTGCTCAGACCATCTTAGGAGGCAAGTGGAGGCTGGAAAGACCTCCTCGGATCCCCTGCCATCTCTGTAGGAATTGGTTGTGGACAGCTTGAGAGATCTGGAGAGCCCCTTGCTGTGAATTCCAGACCCAGTCAGAGAATCATAGGTTCCTTCAAGGATCCAGCCAAGGGTTCTGGTAGGTTTTCCATCAACCTGGGCTTTCCAGACCTTTCCTCAGCCCCCAGGACTTACTGGGAGTCATCACACCACATAAATAAGAGAATGTTCTCTCACAGATGATCCAGGCTACCAGCATGGATGGTTGCCTTGTCTCCTGTGTCAATGATGTGAAAACCCATAAGCAGTTCCCTAAACGTTTCTCTGACTGCCTGCTCAGAGGCTGTGAAATATGGTACAAAACCCACCAAATTTAGAGCTAGGGCCTCTGCCACTCTGCGTGATTTGGGTCAATTTACAAAGATGACTCTCATCTTCAATGGGCTCACCTGTAAAAGAGGGGGCATGATAATAAGATTTTCTATCTTACAAGGTTTTGGTAAGCATTGAATAGAGTAACATTGATTAAAGTGTGTTTTAGGAATTTAAAAATATCCTTAAAAACCACTGGCTGTCTCTCCACAAAGCAAATGATGGCACGCTGTCTATTCCAACGGTGCACACAGGGGCAGCAGTCCCGAGAATGCTGCAAACCCACCTGCAGGAATTTATCAAGCACCTACTCTTTGTGTCTAGCACAGGAAGGTTTAGGATGAGGTCACTTGCCCTCCACAATTATCATACAGTTAGGAAGAAGAGAAAAATGCAACACTTAGGAAGAGAGGATTCAGTGCGGCTTGGGATATTAAGAGAAATCTTTATGGAGGATGCAATGTGAAAACTGCACCTGAAAGGGAGACCATGATGTGGAGAGAAGAGAGGGAAAGGGGAAGTCATTGCAAGCATTTGATATCATCTTCTGGGTAAATCAGGATAAGATAAGTTTGTTGGTATTGTGTTTTAGTTGCAGTATTAGTTATTTCTCAGAGGTGGCTTTTTATCCTGGTTAAAGTCCACTGTATTTAAAGATGTCTAAATGTGGCAGGAGAGTTTGCACTCAGTGTCTTGCCAATAGTGAATCTTGTTCTGGATCCAGACATCACAGGCTTATGCAGCTCTGCATCCCCTTCTGGGCTGTAGAGAAATTTCCGCCATGGGAATTACAGAAAAGATCGGAGTAGAGTTAGAAGGGACTCATGTTTAATGAGCACCTACCAGTTGCCAGAGCTGCACTGGGTTCTTCATGACATAGATGTTATTATTGGCATTTTACGGGTGAGGAAAGCAAAGTCTTGGAGAGAAGTTCAGTAAGGAACGTATCACACAGCCAGGAGTTGAACTCCTTGTAAGTAAATGGAGAGCATCCCAATGAGGACAAACATTGGCAGGTGCTTTTATTTTGGGGTCTGCTTTGGATTCCTCAGGTGTCTCCATGGAAGCCATTTTGAAACTATTTGGAGAATACTTCTTTGAATTCTGTAAGAAGTCTGGCTATGACAGGATGTTACGGACATTGGGAGGAAATCTCACAGAGTTTATTGAAAACCTAGATGCCCTCCACAGTTACCTCGCACTCTCTTATAAGGTAAGGTGTTTGAGTCTGGTCTTGGTGGCCCTGAAAGGGAGCAAGTGCCTGTAGCCATACTGAACCATTCGGGGCCATCTCCCCACTTCCCCCACGAGGGGGGAGGCAGCTGCAAGGGGCCTGTAGAATCCTTGGTACCTGGTGTCAGTGAACCAAGAAGTTCTCTGGGAAAAGGAATGGAAAATGGATACCTGCTTGCCACTTTTCTAAAAAGACTTACAACAATCAAAGAAGGGCAAGCAGGAGAGGTAAGCTTTGTGATGAAGGACAGTCTATTCTGATGGGGCTGGTGTGGGTTTGGAATTAAATCTAGGAGATTGATTACAATGGGAACAAAGGCTGGGAAACAGTCAGGTTTCAGTGGATTTGCAAAATCTCTCCTCAGGTTTCCTGGCCTGGATGGAGCTGATAAACAGCTTCTGCAGCCAGATTCATTTATTCATGTATCAGAAGGAAAGACTTGACAGGGCCAAGAGCCAGAATCGGACACCATCCAACCCTGATTAACCCACGGGGTGACTGCCTGAGGTGTTAGGAAACTGATTTCCCTATTGGGATGTCCTCCTGGAGGTCATGCTTTGGTTTTCTTGTTTATAGAGATCATTGGAAATTCAAATACCTAGACTCCCTTCTCTGTTTTAGAAAAGAAAATGCTTTATTGAAAAGGTGAGGTGGCATTTACGCATATAACAATCGTTCATCATTTTATATAAAATAATGTTTATATTTACTGTCAGGGTCCTTTCACGTTTACTAAGCTGTTTCTTCACCACTTCTATATTTATCATAGCCACCCTTAAAGGATTGTCATGAGAATAAAATGGGATTACGTATGCTAAAAGGCCTCATGAACCATAGTACACCCTTATAGATGTTAAATGGGAAATATTTATTATTTCCTTCAGTTTTCAGATAGGAAATAAGAGGCTTGGAAACCTTAACTGACTTCCTGGAGAATGAATAGTTGGATCTATTCTGTCGTTATGTGAACAACTTAAGAATAAAGGGAATGGAAGATGGACTCATGTCTTGTTAGGGAGACCACTTCATAGTCGGTGTAGAGGCCTGACCACTGCACTGTATTTCTGAAGCTGATGTTGAATAATAATGTATGTCAACTATAATTATATACACATATAGTCACGGGACGTGGAGTAGAGCGTGGGAATGGAGTCAATAGAATTGTAATAGATAAAAGTATGATATCGGGGGTGGGAGGGCAGTGGATGGG